GCATTTATAAGACGGTAATAAGCGGAGTCAGGAGACCAGCATCTCGTTCAGCCCAGGCTTTTCTCTTTATTTCTGCCCCCCCCCCCCCCCCATCGACCAGAAGCGGGAGTTGCCTTTTCTCTACGGCAACCCTGAAGGGACATATCATCTCCAATACAAAACAATAAACATGAGACAGTCTGTTACAATAATAATACATTTTTAAAAAGCGTTAACGCGTGATAAAATAATTGTCGGCGTTAATTAATTAATGCGTTAACGCGTTAACTTGCCCAGCACTAGTTTTCATGTTTCTATTGTTTGACTTTTATCTGGAGCTCCTTTAATCAACTCTTCTTCTTCTGTGGTGCTTTGTTTCAACAGCAAACTCATATTCACACAACAGGATGGAAACAAGACGATGTTTTCACTACAAACATTGAATTTATAAAGTTGACAACTTGTCCTCTTGCTTTATGAGGTGAAATGTTAAAATGATGTTAAAGTAAAACATGAAAACTAAAGTTTCCTCTGAAGAAGATTTAAGATCTTCAGATTGAATCTTTAGCTGCTGAACTTCTTATCGACGTTTGAGTCACAAAAATATCCTGAGAGACGAGATGATAGAGATCAGACTGTCCTGTCTCTTTAAGAGGAGGATAAGAGTTCTCACGGCACGACAGACACACACACTCACTCACACACTCACTCACTCACTCACACACTCGCACACAAAGACTCTCATGCACACTCACACACACACACTCACACACGCTGACACTCACACTCATACACACATACACAAAGTCTCTCATGCACACAGACACACTCACACACATACATATACACTTACACACACTCACTAATTATGCGCTGTGTATTTTTTGCAGTTTCATTTTTATTATCTTTCATCTTTGTTTCCAAAGTTGCTTCTTTGGCTTTGAAGCCGATATGATTTTCAGTTATTCCTGCAGCAGAGATTGTTTATAGGGGCCCCCTACCCCCCCCTCTCCAAATGCAGCTCTTTGATTCCGTTCTGTCGCAGCATCATCAGTGACATCACAACATTTCAGTTTCTGTTAGTCACGTTTTTTACGTAACAACAGCAGTGAACCTCAAACTAAAGTTCTGATTATACAAAAAGTGTTCAACAGAACAAATGTTATTATTCTCCAAACATACTTATATATTGAACAGATCTTAGTTTTGGAGCGAAGAAGAGATAATAGTTTATTATTAACAGAACAATGACATTGTGACGTCGACATCATGATGTCACGTGACATCGCCGTGACATCATTACATTACAGTTATTTTAGCAAACGCTTTTATCCAAAGCGACTTACAATTCAGATTCTATCACATTTCTACACCGTAGGCACAGCTACGGGAGCAATTTTGGGGTTAAGTGTCTTGCTGAAGGATACATCGACATGCGACTAGCAGAGCCGGAGCTCGAACCGCCGACCTTCTGATTGAAGGACAGCCCTGCTATCCACTTAACCACACTCGCACAAAGCAGTCGCGACATCGTCGTGACATCACCGTGACATCGGCGTGACATCGTCGTGTGAGAGGAGTGAGTATGAGAAATAAACGAAGCATCCTGAACTTTCCCAGATTGCTTTGGGGCATGTAAACAGGAAGTGTAATGTTGCCATGGAGACACAAATACACGTCGTCATGTTTGTTAAATCTAACTTTACCAAAATAATAACAATAATCCTTCAGGTATGTAGTAATTGTAACTACACAACTGTCTGTCTGTCTCGGTCTCTCTCTCTCTGTCTCTCTCTCTCTCTCTCTCTCTCTCTCTCTGTCTGTCTGTCTCTCTTTCTCTCTGTCTGTCTCTCTCTCTGTCTTTCTGTCTCTCTCTCTGTCTGTCTCTCTGTCTCTCTGTCTCTGTCTGTCCGTCTGTCTGTCTCTCTGTCTTTCTGTCTCTCTGTCTCTCTGTCCGTCTCTCTGTCTTTCTGTCTCTCTCTCTGTCTCTCTGTCTCTGTCTGTCTGTCTGTCTCTCTCTCTGTCTCTCTGTCTTTCTGTCTCTCTCTCTGTCTCTCTGTCTCTGTCTGTCTGTCTGTCTCTCTCTCTGTCGCTCTGTCTCTGTCTGTCTCTCTCTCTCTCTCTCTCTCTCTCTCTGTCTCTCTCTGTCTGTCTGTCTGTCTGACTGTGTCTCTGTTATAAATCACAAGCATGTAGCATCAAATTGAAAACATCCATTAGTGCGGAGCCACATCAGAGTGAGGGTGGGGGGGATGGATAGATGGATGGATGGGGGGGGGAGTATTGTTTGGAAAAGTATTTCATGTCAGATGATTTATTTAGCGGAGAAGAAGAAGAAGAAGAAGGAGAAGACGGAGAAGAAGAAGAAGAGGGATGAAATGATTTGCGTGTGAAAAAGCAGCGATGTAGATCAGTAGAGAAGAAGAAAAAGAAGATGAGGAGATAAGAAGATGATGTTTGTGAAAGGATAGAATTACACAGCTCAGGATTATCAGCTCTCAGCTCACCTGGTCTACAGGTGAGACACAGGTGAGAGCTGAGAGCTGCAAAACATCTTTTAACAGCACGAATACCAAAACTACTTCAGCAGCCAATCACAAGAGAGAACATCCTTTTAAAAACACGACTGGAGACGAGTCGTTCTTTCGAGGTCTCACCAGTTGTCTCACCTGGGACACTTCATTCAGTTCTGTTCTGAGACGTTAGCATGCTAACGTTTAGCATGTACAATGTTCTCCATCTTAGCTTAGTGTATTAGCATGCTAACACTAGCTAATGATCAGTAAACACAGAGACAGACTGAGACTGATTGAATGTATTTAGTTCTGCAGCTTTTTGATATTAAAGCAAAGTGTTGGACTCAGTTCAGTCTGGACCACAGTGAGACCCTCACCTGGTGTTAGACCCTCACCTGGTGTTAGACCTTCACCTGGTGTGAGACCTTCACCTGGTGTGAGACCTTCACCTGGTGTGAGACCCTCACCTGGTGTTAGACCTTCACCTGGTGTGAGATACTGACCTGGTGTTAGACCCTCACCTGGTGTGAGACCTTCACCTGGTGTTAAACCTTCACCTGGTGTGAGACCTTCACCTGGTGTGAGACCTTCACCTGGTGTTAGACCTTCACCTGGTGTGAGACACTGACCTGGTGTTAGCCCTTCACCTGGTGTTAGACCCTCACCTGGTGTGAGACACTGACCTGGTGTTAGACCCTCACCTGGTGTGAGACACTGACCTGGTGTTAGACCCTCACCTGGTGTTAGACCTTCACCTGGTGTTAGACCCTCACCTGGTGTTAGACCTTCACCTGGTGTGAGACCCTCACCTGGTGTGAGACCCTCACCTGGTGCTAGACTCACCTAGTGCTGGACTCACCTGGTGCTGGACACTGAACATAGTCAGGCATTGGTGGAGGTTCATGTGAGCTCTACTGAGTGATGGTAATGGAAGCTCTTGAAAGAGGAGTCTGAGGGCTCCAGAGGTTCACAGTGAGGACAGCACAACTATTCCTGTTCTGACGCGTTCTTGTCAAAACAACATTTATTACTCATACAGACTGAAACCATCCAGACAACTAGCTCTTTGATCCTGTGCTATGGGGGGGTGGGGGCTCACTCCGAGGCCCCGGACCCAGGAGGGGCCGCAGGTCCACCTGTGGATGGTCCTGATGCCGTGAAGACCAGAACACACCGCTGGAAGTCCATCTCATGTGATTTCATATCAACCTCAGACAGTTTAGATGTAAACATTAAAATGTAATGTGATTAAGAACTCCTTGTGTTAGGTTTAAAGAACTGTTTGTTGAGATGAACTGACGCTGACTATCGTCATGAATATATATTTGAATTAAATGTGTAGCTTCAGTCTGTTTCAATTGTGGTTCATTAATGGTGAGTCTGTATTCATCAAACTGCTAAAAGGTAAAACTTTAGTGAAAGAAACATTTACTTTATGATGTACATACGCTGTAAAACCCAGAGCGGCAAATGTGTGATTAGATATAAGGTATGAACGGTGTGAGCTGGTTGGTCTTCCTGCTGCTCTGGTTCACCACAAACATACTTTTAGTCATCGGTGGTATTTCTTTATCATCTGTTTACTTAAGAAAAGAGAAAACACGAGTCTGTACAACAATTGGTTTAATGTGAGACTTACTTTACATTAACGTGAGAACATTTAACATCTTTTCATCTCGCAGATCTCTTCAGTCAACAACTGTTTCATTCAGAAACAGTTCAATGTGTTTCATGTTTACTGACTGATTCAATAAATAACCCAAACAATAGAAAACATACATATTGATAAATCCCACAAGTGCATATTACCGTCTGAATGCACTGACACGAAAACACCTTTCATCATAAATTCACCAAAGTTACATCTTCGGTGTTGACTCTTTTAACCACATCTCATGGCCTTCGTAAGCAGACGAGGAGTCCCCCCTAAAGCCTCAAACCCTGAACCCTCAAGGACTTACTGACGTCACCTGGTGAGTGGTTGAGAGTGAGAGACTGCGAGGGCTTGAGATGGTGTGAATATGAACGAGACATAACACGTTACCATGAAAACAACAAAACATATGATGTATAATTGTGTGTATTTATTGTATACTTTGTACTTCCTGATTTGAACGTCTTCAGGCTCTTTCCTCACTAGATGAGAGGTAACTTCATATAATCTATTTACTCGTTTTTGTCAAAACAGCTTCAATGACAAAATCAAAAATTTGATGAATAAATAAATAAATATTCTCTGATGTCATGTTTATAGGTTCCATCTTCAATCCTTAATGTTTCTGAGTACATTTAATATTCCAGGCTGAACACACGAACCTTCCTCTTTGTTTACCTTTTTTTTTTTTTACGTCTCCGTGCGTCCACTGGTTACGCCGTGTTTAACCGTGTCACATTGCAATGATTTGTGGGTAATTCCCTTAGGCTAAGTCTGCATCTAATACTGACTTACGGAAAGGGTTCATAAAGGGCTCAAAATGTCTGAGAGACTCAAACACTCGATGATCTGACAGTGGGACAGAACTAAACCCTCACGGACTTTGCAGGAGCGTGCCTCAAAGTCTGTGAGTCCGTAAGGGTTTAGATTGGGATTGAGCCAGTGACACACCTTACTTCTGGGGAACTTAAAGGAAGTGACACACCTCACTTCTGGGGAACCTAAAGGAAGTGACACTTCTGAGGACCCTAAAGGAAGTGACACTTCTGGGGACCATAAAGGAAGTGACACACCTCACTTCTGGAGACCCTAAAGGAAGTGGCATTTCTGGGGACCATAAAGGAAGTGACACTTCTGAGGACCATAAAGGAAGTGACACACCTCACTCATGGGGACCCTAAAGAAAGTGAGACACCTCACTTCCATGATAACAGCATCTGACTGCAGAGACCATTTCCACTATAAATATGTTTGTATCAAAATTCCACATTCAGGTCGTGGCACAACGATCAAAACCATTAAATGAGGAAGCTCATGAGATGTGGCCGAAAGCTCCAGAAATACCAAGTAAGTCGGGTCTTCTGTTGAGGCTTTTTGGCGCAACAGAATCCTGTTTTTAAGATCTCAGTTTGACACAAATCTCATTCCAATCTTGTGTTTTCAAGCAATAGAAGAGCTGGAAAAGGGTCTTCTTTGGAAACATGAAAGTACTCCATGCATGTCTTCAAAACGTCTCTCATGTACCAACATTCTGCTTCAATTCGAGTTATATCCCTATGATCCACATCCTGTCAGCTCCGGAACCGTCCAGTCACAGCAGCAGTTCAGAAGGTTCCTCGGTAAATAGTCTGTGGTTCAATACAGTATCTGTCTGGGGAGTAACAACTGTTTTGTCATGGTAATAGATTTAGTAACAGTAGTCTTGGTGACGGAGGTGGAGTTAGGGCTGCCTCAGTAGTCGTCATAGCGGTACATGTTGGGGTATGCGTAGCGGTAGTGGTGGTAACAGTAGTCTTGGTGACGGAGGTGGAGGTAGCACTGCCTCAGTAGTCGTCGTAGCGGTACGTGTTGGGGTATGCGTAGCGGTAGTGGTGGTAACAGTAGGCTTGTTGACAGCGTTGGAGGTAGCACTGCCTCAGTAATCGTCGTAGCGGTACGTGTTGGGGTATGCGTAGCGGTAGTGGTGGTAACAGTAGGCTTGTTGACAGCGGTGGAGTTAGGGCTGCCTCAGTAGTCGTCATAGCGGTACATGTTGGGGTATGCGTAGCGGTAGTGGTGGTCACAGTAGTCTTGTTGACAGCGGTGGAGGTAGGGCTGCCTCAGTAGTCGTCGTAGCGGTACGTGTTGGGGTATGCGTAGCGGTAGTGGTGGTAACAGTAGTCTTGTTGACAGCGTTGGAGGTAGCTCTGCCTCAGTAGTCGTCGTAGCGGTACGTGTTGGGGTATGCGTGGCGGTAGTGGTGGTAACAGTAGTCTTGTTGACAGCGGTGGAGGTAGCACTGCCTCAGTAGTCATCGTAGCGGTACGTGTTGGGGTATGCGTAGCGGTAGTCGTAGCCGTCGGCCCGCTCTGTTTTGGTCTGCAGAGGTTCAGGCTGAAACGACAGAGACTTGATGACTCCGCCCGAGTCCTCCGTCAGCTTCACCTCGGTGGAGTATGAGGAAGAGGAGGGATCATCCAGCAGAGAGGAGGAGCAGCCGGGGAGGCCTGGAAGTTTTGGAGGAGCACAGGAGGGCTGATAGGACGGGAGGCCAGCAGAAGGTTTAGGACATGACTGGTATGAAGGGAGCGTGGCAGGAGGCTTCGGACAAGGCTGATAGGAGACCTGAGGAGGACCAGAACTGGTGTTAATGTGGCAGGAACAGAAGAAAGAATCCCACATCTTAATGTCTGCAGATGGACCCTCCTAATGAACTTCTACTCACCTTGGTTGTCGTGGTGATGATGGTCTGCAATGCTGCGGGGGACCCGGGGGCGTTGCTGGGGTAACGGCAGGGGTACTCGGCGCTGTAGTAGTGGTGGTTGTCACCGTAGGGGGCGGAGCTCTTCAGCAGCTCCTTCCAGCCGGCAGGAGACTTGGTCTGGGGGTCGAAGGAGGAGGAGCAAGTGGAGGAGAGAGGAGCTGCCGATGATGTGGAGGAAGAAGAGGAACCAAGGACCGGAGCCACCCTGCAGAGAAACCAAGATCTAGTTCAGACCTGTTCAGACTGTCAAGATCTAGTTTACACTCTAAGGATCTGGTTCAGACTTCGTCAGTCTGCTATGTCAAGGTCTGGTGGGATCAGATCCTGTTTAAACTGGTGTGGTCTGGATTAGACCTGTTTAGACTGTCAAGACCTCCTAGGTCTGCCAGGATTTGGCAGAATCTGGTTTGATCAGATCATATCTGTCAAGACCTTTTGGTATCTGTTTATGCTGGATCTGGTTTACACTTGGTTAGAATTTCAGAATCTGGTTTCACTCCAAATGTATTTAAAGGTGTGAGGCTGACCTGGGGTCACAGAGTTCAGACGTCATGGGATATGAAGGCGAGGTCAGGTATCCTTGGAACTCATAGCCGGGCCGGCCCATGTAAAGCCTGGGATTGGCTGGTTTCTGCAGTGTGGGCGGGGTCTCTCCTAGTGCATTGTGGGGGTTGTAGTAGGGATCTGGGCTCTGGAATGCTGGGTAATGCTGTGGGTAATTGGGCTCGATGAAGGAGATTCTGTCCGATGGATCGACACAGGAGAGGAGGGCGGGGCCCAGAGCCTGAAGCAGAAAACAACAAATAAACAAATCAGTAAACATTAAACAACAACAAACAAACAGCTGTTGTTTTTTGTTGTCGACCTGCGTCTCGATGAGTCGTCTCTTGGGGGTGAACGGTGGCGAGCTGACTCGTCTCTTCACCGAACTTCGTCTGGCTTCAGTCTCCGACTTGGACTCTGGTCTGGGATGATCGTGGACCCCTTTGGCCTGAAGAACCACAACAACAGACTAGATTAGAATCTGGTTTAAACCGGTCGAATCTTTTTAAAAGATAGAATGTTTCGACTCGGTTTAGACCAGTTTTCAGACTGCCAAGTCTTGGTTTACATCAGGGACCCGCTCTTAATATCAAAACACCTTTAGATGTCCAGGATCTAGTTTAGAGGCATTCACACGGTCTAAATGTAGTTTAAACCTGCTCAGACTGTCAGGATGGTCAAGTGTCGACCAAAACCTGGTTCAGAGAGTCAGATGTCCAAGTACTGGTCTCTCATTCAGGATCTGGTCTGCTAAAGATATGCTAAACATCGAACAAAAAGTTCAGAAATTAGTGTTTGGTAGATAATTTCTCTATCGTAACAATGCTTCTTGGCAATGAATTTTATACCGTTGGAAAGCCTGTTTATTTACCTTTTAAACGGTGCCCGATTTGTAAGGAACATGCATTTGTGGGATGAGCAGCAGAGCTGAGTATGTGAGTTGCGCCCATGAAAAATTTGTTAAATCTTCTCTGCCAATGCCAAACAGCTTATTCTGCTGTTGCTATTCACCGTCAGGCCCGTTTGCGCTGGTGTCGGCAACACCTGCACTGGAACCTGAACGTGTGGAGGAACGTTATGTTCAGCGATGAGTCCAGATTCTGTCTAAGGAAGTTGGATCGTAGGGTCAAAGTGTGGAGAAGACGGGGAGAACGCTATGCTGATTGGTGGATGGTGTGGGGCGGCATCTCCATCACTGGAGAAACGAGGCTTGTCTTCATTGGAGGCAATCTCAATGCAGAGAGATATCGAGATGAGATTCTGCAACCAGTGGCAATCCCAAATCTCCACAGTCTGGGACCAAACTCCATCCTCTAAGATGAAGACGCTCGCCCCCACAGAGCGGTTTATCAGAGACTACCTCCAGAATGTGGGAGTAGAGAGGATGGAATGGCCTGCCAACAGTCCTGACCTCAACCCAAGTGAACACTTGTGGGACCAGCTGTTCGTGGCAGAGTGACCAAGTCAACCACGTTGGCTGACTTGCAACAAATCCTGCTTGAGGAGTGGAATGCCATCCCACAGCAGTGTGTGAGCAGGCTGGTGACCAGCATGAGGAGGAGGTGCCAGGCTGTTGTGGCTGTGTATGGTTCTTCCACACGCTACTGAGGCTCCATCCATCCATCCATTTCCCCCCGCTTATCCGGGGTCAGGTCGCGGTGGCAACAGGCCAAGCAGGCTGACCCAGACTTCCCTCTCACCGGCAACATGTTCCAGCTCATTCTGGGGGATCCCGAGGCGTTCCCAGGCCAGCTGGGAGATGTAATCCCTCCAGCGTGTTCTGGGTCTTCCCCGGTGTCTCTTCCCAGTTGGACGTGCCTGGAAAACCTCCAGTGGGAGGCGTCCAGGAGGCATCCTAATTAGATGCCCGAACCACCTCAGCTGACTCCTTTCGACGTGAAGGAGTAGCGGCTCGACTCCAAGCTCCCTCCTGATGACCGAGCTCCTTACCCTATCTCTAAGGCTGAGCCCGGCCACCCTACGGAGGAAGCTCATTTCGGCCGCTTGTAGCCGCGACCTTGTCCTTTCGGTCACGACCCAGAGTTCGTGACCATAGGTGAGGGTAGGAACATAGACCGAGTGGTAAATTGAGAGCTTTGCCTTCCGGCTCAGCTCCCTCTTCACCAAGACGGTCCGGTGCAGCGCCTGCTTACCCTAACCCTAACCCGAATGGACCATGTTCAAAGCCTCTATTGTGGACGCGGCCGCTAGGAGCTGTGGCCGGAAGGTCATCGGTGCCTGTCATGGCGGCAACCCGAGAACCCGGTGGTGGACACCGGAGGTGAGGGAAGCCGTCAAGCTGAAGGAGACCTTCAAGGCCTGGTTGGCCCAGGGGTGTCCCGAAGCAGCTGACAGGTACCGGCAGGCCAGAAGGGCTGCAGCTGCGGTGGTCGCGAATGCTAAAACTCGGGCATGGGAGGACTTCGGGGAGGCCATGGAGAAGGACTTTCGGTTGGCCTCAAGGAGGTTCTGGCAAACCATCCGACGACTCAGGCTACTGAGGCTCCTGTTTGTTAAATGAATAAATTGTAAAATTGTCAATATGTCTTGTTTCTTCCTTGTAACTGATAGACTTCAATCATCCAATCCACCAAACAACAGTCGATAGCAACAGCAGAATAAGCTGTTTGGCAGAGAAGATTTGGCTAATTTTTCATGGGCGCAACCCACATACTCAGCTGTGCTGCTCATCCCACAAATGCATGTTCCTTACAAATGGGGCACTGTTTGAAAGGTAATTAAACAGGCTTTCCAATGGTATAACATTTATTGCCAAGAAGCATTGTTACAACAAAGAAATAATCTATCAAACACTAATTTCTGAACTTTTTGTTCGATGTTTAAATTATCTAGCCCAGTTAGCATCTTTAGCATGTTAGCATGTGTGTTTTTGAAGGTGATGACCTGGAAGAAGATGGCCTTTCCATCGACCCTCCAGAAGTTGGTGACGGGGTAACCGCTGTGACCGCGACACGGCAGCAGCTCCAGACCGGCAGTGCAGCTCGGACACAGCTTCTCTGAAACACAATGAATCCGGTCAGGTGACAGGTGGGGAACAGGTGGTGGATACACCTGGACGGGTTCTGGGCCTTTTTTTACTTACTCTGCTGTTTCTGCCGGGCCTTGTCGCAGATGGCTGGGCGGAGCTGCAGCCTGGAACCGTCCGGCAGTGTGCAGCCGCGAGAGCAGACCACCACGCCCAGACACGACTTCTTCAGGATCTGACAGTTGTGGTTGTTGGTGTTCCTCATCGCCCAGCCAGAGAGATGTCTCTGAGCGTTCTTATCTTCAGCTGGAAACAACACGACACATTTAAACTATTCAGGTGCACACAACATTATTGCCTTTAAGAAAACCTAGGAATAGTCTTAACATTCGCTGGACGAACAATAGACTGGTTTTGGATCCTGAAAAAGAGAAGCGGACAACCTCAACCTGCAGAGGGAAGAAACTCATTTTCTCAGAGAAAGAAAAGGACAACTTCTCTTCCCGTTAACGTCGACATTTGCCCGTCATAAGGAAGAAGAATTCCCTTAACTTCCGAGTACTCCCCGCTGCCATACGGAGGATTTATAGCCGCGCAGCTTGAAGCTCCGGATCCCGAGTTTAACCAAGAAACTCAAATAAACTCAAAGAACCACATCCACCGCTACGAAGTCGTCTCACAGTAAAAGGCTTTTGTCTGGGCAGAGAGAAGGTCATAGTGTGTTTATAACCTCTGTTGTGTTCTACGTTTACTGTATTGTTACGTGTTGTTGTGTTTTTACGGACCACCGAGGTCCGTTAGTGCTGTGAAGAAACTACTACTGTGTTCCATGCTGCTGCAGAAGTGTTGTGTTAGATCATCACCACGAGGGAAGTTGGTAGTTGTGACTTTATCAGTTAGAAGACCAGAACCTTGGCCCAATATGAGTTCACCAGTCGGGTTTCTGTATTTTACTGCAGCGGTGAGAATCTGCCTTGTTTTGAGGGTTTTCCCTTTTTCTCTTCTTTTTTCTTTGCCTTTTCACACACACACACACACACATAGGTTTAACTACTCATCTCAGACACACGTGGTGTGATAACGTGGTCTCTATCGTGGCCCCGCCATCATTTTGTACTCCCACGTGGCGTGGTTACATACGAGACTACATCCTCCATCTTTGAGTAGTTTGTCACCTCGCCCCCC